CGGTGCCGGGCCGCGGTTCGGCTCAGCCAGCCCTCGCTCCCCATTCACGGTCTTTCCGCCCCGGGCTCCGCCTGGCCCCGCGCAGTGCGCATGCGCGGCACGCAGCTGTGGCGCCGTTGTTGTGGCGCGGCGGGGAAGCACGTGAGGAGTGCTACGTCACCATAAACACTCGTGGGCAACATGGCGGCGGCGCCGCCGAGCGGCAAGGTAATGGGGGCGGGCGGCGGCGGCGCCGGCCTCTCCCGCCTCTCCCCCCGCGGGACGCGCCGTGTCGGGCGCTGGGTCACGCTAGCTGGCGGGAGTCGCGGGGAAGGGGGGTCGGGCCGCTGAATGGCGTGAGGGTACCTTTTCTCCCGCCGTGCGGGTGTCGCCTGACGGGGCCGCCTCTCCGGGAACGTGCCGTCCTGGCCTCGGGCAGGCCGGGCCGGGCGCCGGCAGCGGCCGCGGGCCCTGAGCGCCGGAGGCCGAGGCGGCCGGCGGGCGGAACTGGGGCCCTTACTGCACCTGGCGGCCGGGCAGCGCCCGGGCAGCTCGGCTCCGGCCCCGGGCGGCAGGAGCCCGCTCCGCCGCGGCCGGCAGCTCTGCGGCCGCGCTGGCTCTCGGCCCGAGGCAGAGGAACGCGGCTTGTCCCGTCTGCGTGGCCCGGAGGTGCTCATGGACGGTAGTGGCCTTTCCCCCGGCCTGCGCGCTGGTAGTGTGTGGGAACCTGCCCCCGGCGTGGGTACAAAGCCTTGTCAGTCCTATAATTTGGTAATTAAAAATTATTTGTATGTCGTGGATCCTTGCCGAGCGTTCCGGAACGAAGCATTATTGCTTGGCAGGGACTGAGCTCGCAGGAGGGGGAGGTACAAGCAACACCCACTGTTTCCCTCCGCCCCCGTCAACAGATGCGAATTGCGTCCGTATTGTTTTTTTGTAGAAATAGTTTTATTTCATGATTCTGTCTTCTGAAAGTGTTGCTTTGCAATGCAGTGTTCTCAAGCATGTGGACCCTTTATTTAGGATTTAAAATCTCGGTGTGGTGTCCGATTGTATGTAGTAGCCATGGTGAGTGAGTGTGTGATAGTCTGCAGTTTCACTTTTCCAGCACGGCGCAGAAGATGATCGTTTCAGTTCACGCTGGTCTCGGCATTTGAGAACACACGTCATTAGCCACGTCTGCGCTTCTCCGAGGGTGCTGAGGACTGCCCTTAGCTATAGCACGAAAATCCCGTAGAGTTCTTACTTTGTGCCACCTTACCAGATCCGTTTCAACCAGAATTGTTGGAGCAGGGAATTTCTGCAGCTGGAGCTTTTGCAACTTTATTTTTATGTTCTTTACTGCTGTTGAGTGTGTATATAAAAAGATAACCATACTGTCCTCCCAGCTGTTTCTACCTATGCACATCCAATTTTTATGTATACAGACAAGTTCCTTGTCTGGTTTTATCCATTTTAATATCAACACAGAAGTTTATTGGATGAACGGCAATATTTTAATTTTTTAGATAAATATTTTAATATTTTAATTTTTCAGGTTGTTTTTACTTTTCTACTTAGGCTTTTATCAGGATCTTCTTCAGAATGTCTCTTGTGAAAGCAGCTGTATTATGATGGTTTATATGAGATGTTAGAATGGTTGTGGATAGTTGTTTGTAAATTTGCTGTGTATTCTTTGTTCCTTTCCAAGAGCCCTGTTTGCCTAAGACTACATCTCTAAGACATTGCAAAACGGCTTTAGTTATGCCACATCCACAATACTAATGCAACTTATAATTCAGTAACATTCTTTGCCATGTCTCTTTTAACACAGAGGAAAAATGACAGTTGTGTTTTCCCAAACTTCATGAAGTGGCTGGGCTGATTTGACGTTTCACTGCTCTCAGGACCAGTTCCATCCTTCTCTGTATTTCCCCACCTGTGTGTTGCACTGTTGCTTTCTTGGATACTGTACTCATTTGATCTGCCAGGGATTAGATCTAGCAAGCTGAAATAATACATCCAGCTGTGCTTACTTTTATCTGGCTTAGTTTTCTGTTGGGAGCACATTGGACCACAAATTGTTCCTTTGAGTGGCAGCAAGATTTTGGAACGGCTTACAAACTTCAGGTGGAATAAATGCAGTGTAGGTTGGTACAGACCCAGTGTTCTCACTTCAGGACTTTTGCACATCAGTGTTTCTACAAGCTGTGGATGTCCCAGGTTAACTGCAGTGTTCCTTCTGGCTGTGCAATTTGTTGTAATGGGGTGTTTCAGATGGTAGCTTTCCAAAAGAACAATAGGTAGTTTGTGGGATGCTTTATTCTCATGTGGCAGATCTTATCACATGAAAGTAATGTATTTTAACATATGTTCTGCTTTCTGCAAAATATTACACTAAGTGGTTCCCATGGAAAGCACATGGCAGTATATTAAGCAGCTGGGATAGCCTGCATTGTTTCAACTTTCACAAAGACTTGTTTTAGCAAACCATATAAGATTGTGGTTTCTATTATATTTTTACCCTGTTTGCCTTTCTCTTCTCTATTGCAGGTTTTTGGGGTTTTATTTGTTTGGTTTTTGTATTGTTTGTTTGTTTGTTTTTATTTCCAAGACATTATTTATATCAGTAGATTCAGAATCCAGCTATTTCATGTAGTCTCTGGTTTCTGCTCCATGGGATATGAATTAAAAATGTTGTTATCTCATCACTACTTTACTTGGACTTTTGTCCTGTTTTTTTGTTTTTTTTTTTTTCCCCTTGCTGGAACCTCTCATGAGGTTCTTATCAGTGTTTTTCTCTATATGGATGGTTAACTCGGTTCAGGAAAAGTTACTGCAGTTGAATTCTGGAGATGTGACTCATTCTTTATAAATTACTATCTGCCCTAGAACAGTATGAGCTTCAGTTTTTGCCCTTTCTTAGAGTTGCTAGTTTTTTCTGGAAGTAACTTGGTAGTAAGGTCATTTATTTTTAGAGCTTTTGACTTCATGTAAATAGGTATATTTATATATTATAAACATATTATACTTTATGAAAACAAGTACATTTTCTCTCTTTTTATTACTTAAAAAATGGCAGTTTCCTTATTTTATTCAGAGACCCTACTCTGTATATAACAGAAAACTCTGTTAGAAAATGAGCTAAAAATTGTGTATGGGGAGAAGTACAAGCTTCAATTTCAGTCTGTCGGTATACAGGTGATTATTGCAGCTGATCTAAAGACAGTAATGATTCTTTTTTAATGTTCTTGGAGGTCAGAGTATCTTCAGCACATGGGCTGTTAGATCTTTCTCAAGTTACCAATTGACACATGGGCTGTCAGAAAAGTTATTTTTCACTTGCTTGTGCTCTTGCTCTTGGAGTTAAAGTTTCAGAGTGTTAACTGGCCAAGCATCTGAGCTTTATCTCTGAGCTCAGATGTCTGGCCATTTCAGCAACTAGAAGTGTTCAGGGAGCTATTACTAAACAGTGGTGTTGGGGAGGGGATTTGTGCTTGCAGTGGAAGATTGTTTTGTTTTTTAAAATATGGTATTAAAATTAGCTTTGCATCCTTCATGTATTTTGTTGGCATAGATACAGTGAATGATTTTAGGTGTTTATCTATTCTGTGGGATAGGCAGTGTCTTGTTCCACCTTCTACTAGTTAAATGTGAGTGCACAGAGGCTCCTGTATTATTACATTGTGCCATTTTATTAAGCATTTGATTGAAAATATTTGTTATATATTTTTCAGCTTTTATAATTTACTGTGAATACAATCATAATCCTTTTTGATTATACTGTACTTCGTGGGTTTTCTGTGTGAACAGAAGACTGTCTCTCTTGAATTTACTTAAGGCTTTATTATGCTTGAATGTAAAGCAGTTCAGTGATAATTCTGAAATTTCTGTATTTTCTTTTTATTTTCTATTCATTAAGGATTTCTCTTTGCAGAAGTGCTTACAATAGGACCAGTGGGTTACTACCTGAAGCTCTTGCTGTCAGTACCCTGAACAGACTTGTATTTTCACTGATGCCCTGCTATTTTTGCATGAGTAGCAGAAATACCCTGTAGATCAAGAAATCTTCAGAGCACGTGAGACAGAGCTTGAAATATGTACTGTGGTGCAGTAGGAGACTTATGTAGTTCCTGGTGTTGATAGCTTTCTCATATTTGTCACAACATGAACAACATTTGTTGGATTCTGTCTCTCTCCACCCCTCCCAGACCTAGAAATTGGGTGTTTTTAAGTCTGGCAGGTGTGAAATGTTACTTTCTTGGGAAAAAATGTTAAGCCACAAGCTCAGCAAATAAAAGGCATACAAGGTTCAACAAGGCCAAGTGTAAGGTCCATGGGCCAATCCCAAGCACAAGTACAGGCTGGGTGTAGAATGGATTGAGATGAGTTCAGGGGAGAAAAACTAAAGGGTGTTCACAGGAGAAAAACTCAGTATGACTCAAGTGTCCACCTGCAGCTCAGAAAGCCAACTGTGTTTTGGACCACATCAAAAGCAGTGTGGTCAGCAGATCACGGGAGATGGTTTTCCCCCTCTCCTGTGCCCTCATAGGACACCATGTGGAGTATTGTGTCCATCTCTGGAGTCCCCACCACAAGCATAGATGCAATGTAGCAAAGAGGGTATGAAGATAGTCAGAGAGCTGGAGCACCTCTTCTGTGAAGGAAGGCTGAGAGAGTTGAGGTTTTTGGTCTGGAGAAGAGAAGGCTCCATAACACCCTGGAGTGCATTCCAGTATGTAAAGGGGGCTTACAAGAGAGCTGGAGAGGGATTTTTCCCAGAGGAATGTAGTGATAGGATGAGGGGCAATAGCCTTCAGCTGAAGGGGAAGCATAGGTTTAGATTGGGTATCAGGAAGAAGTTCTTTGCTCTGAGTGTAATGAGAACACTGAAACAGATTGCCCAGAGAGGTTGTCTACTCCCGATCCCTGGAGGTGTTCAACATGAGGCTGTATAGGGCTGTGAGTAACCTGGTCTAGTGGAATGTTGCCTGCCCATTGCAGGGGGCTTGCAGCTAGATGATCATTAAAGTCCCAAACCATTCTGTGATTTGTGTTTTATTACAATTCATATGCCAGATATTGTAACATATCTTCTGTAGAGCAGAAGATCATGTTGATCAAGTTAATGTTGGCTTGATGCTTTGTGGAGCACTCAAATGTATTGGCACCTAGTCATTGGAAACAGACTTTTGATGCATAGGTACTTCAATGTGCCCAGTCACACTTTAGCAGTGGATGTGTGAGTA